GGGAGATGGCTCAGTGGAATAAGTGCTTCCCTTGCAAGCGCAAGGGCCTGAGTTCAATCCCCGCAAAAAAAAAATAAAATAAAAGAGCGAACCCAGGCCACTGCGCTCTGTCTAAGCAGGCACTTTAATCCGCTGAGCTATCTGGCTGGTCCTTGATTTTATAAATATGGAAGCAATACATTTATTTTTTACCTGTTATAAAACTTATACTGTTATATTTTGGTATCTACTGAGATAATATAGTGGTATGAATTAAGATGCCTTTAACTTTATAGTAGCTATGCACAAAAATCCAATTTGTGTTCACATAACTTCAGGAAACTAATACAGGAATCACTGCTGTTTCTTTTTTCTATTTTTAAAAGCTAAATGATGGTTGTCTCCCTAGTGTAAGAACCTGAAAGAATAAAATCTGAAAGGTACAACAGATATAATAAAATGAAAAGAAACAACATAAGGAATAAACAATCAAGATGATGGAAAGGAGAAAAGATAGGAAAAAAAGGAAGGGGGAAATCATGCAAGTGTATACACAGGATAGCTGAGATGATTGTGCTGCTAATTGCGGTTGCTGGGAAAGCGCTTATTCCACTGAGCCACCTTCCCAGCCCCTATCAGTTTTTTAAAGGTGGTTAATGTTTTAAAATTTTTACTTTGACCAACTATATATACTAATATCTGTAATCTGAGCAACTGCATTGAAGACAGCAATGTGCGGTGTGACAGTCACGGCTCAGTACCTTTCACCTTGTTATTTTAAAAGTATGTTCTCCCATGTCTTCTCTATTATTGTTATACTCTCTTTAAAATAAATTAAAAAATAAAAAGGAAAAAATTAAGGTGTGTTGAAAGGAAGAGTTAAGGTTTGTTTGGTCACTCTTACACGCCTACTGTTAGTAACTGGAGCAACAAATCTGATGACAACAATGCATAATATAACAGTCATTCCTAATTTTCTGTTGTTGTTTTGAAATTCTGTACCATTTTTATTTTATGTTGCTTTGCTTCTGTCTTTGTTCTTTTTTTGTTTTATTTTCCTCTTTAAAACACACACACGCACGCACGCACACCATCACCAAAACCCTTACGTGATGGTTGTGGGTGGTTTTAGCTCCATGGTAGAATGTGTGCTTGACACGCGCAAAGTTCTGCATTCAGTCTTCAGCACCAAAAACATAACAAAACCGAAACAACAAATAAGTGATAAATAAAATATGCCTATAAAGAAAAATGCGCGTTTTCTAGATAAAAGTAAGGTCAATTGGTAGAGACAGGGATATAGTTTGATGGAAACTATACTGATCTCTTCTATTTAATTGAAGGTCCATTTTAGCCTCTTATCTCCTGAAGGAAAAGCTCAATATCCTGGGCAAACTGGGGTGCCTGCTCAGCTGTGCGGGGTCCGTCGTGCTTATCATCCACTCCCCGAAGTCTGAGAGTGTGACAACGCAGGCCGAGCTGGAGGAGAAGCTCACCAACCCAGGTAACTACACTGCACGCGCTGCCAAAGCACTGCCGGTCCAGGCTTCATGAGCACTGGCCGGCCGAGGTTTCCTGACGCTGTGAGCTGACCTGCGTGCACTGTCACCTGTCACCACAGAGCCACATCTGGCTTTGGGTGGCTATGTGTGCAAGACAGCCCAGCCGTGCAGAAACACCTCTGTCTGGCTGACACTCTGTGCCTGCGTGCAGACTGACCACCACTGGGGGCCCAGTTCGCCTCGCCCTCTGCTGCAGGGCTCCCTGCTATGCGCTCAGCAGGGACACTCCGCTCAGCAGGGACACTCCCCCTGCAGTTCCTTCTGCAGCCCAGCTGGGAGGCGCCTGCGGGCTGTGCCCCTTCTGAAGCCTCAGTTGCCAGTGGGAAACCTAGGGTGGAGACAAGGTTTTGTGTGTGCATTTGGCATATAGTAACTTACTTTGACAAATGCAATACAAACCAATACACTGTCACACCCAGTTTAAAGCAGAGACCTCCTTAAGTTACATCCAGCTGACTCCCTGGGCTGGGCCTGACGGCTTTGCCTGGACATGCACACGAAGCTGCCTCCACATGGAGTCTCCAAGTCACCGTGTTGAATGCAGCAGGGCTCCGTCTGTCACACTATCAATAGGAGCCCATGGTGAGGTTAGCCACGATGACCCATCTCCTGTCCTCTAGCCCCTGACATCAGCTTCCTCTGAAATGTCCCTTCCCACGAGAGGCCCAGTACTCCACGTTAATATCCTGCTTCTTCTCCGAATGCTGTGTCCTCTCTGGGGCATGACCCTGAGCCTGTTCCTCAGGCAGTGTTAGGTTTGCATCCTTTTTTTTTTTTTTTTTTTTTTTTTTTGAGACAGTCTTGGTAGATAGTTTAGACTGACCTTGAACTCTGTAGCCCAGCCTTGAACTTGTAGCAATCCTCCTTCCTCAGCCTTACAAGTGCCAGGATCACGGGTGTGCTCCACCCTGCCCAGCTCACCCTTGCCCAGTTTGGTGCAGCATCAAGGAAATCACCCCTTTATTTTCTGTCCTTGCAGTCTTCTTGAGGCCACCTAAACTGGGGCTCTGCTAGTTTGCATAGTCACACCTGTTGATTTATGTGTCCTCATGGACGGCTGTGTGTCCAGGTAGTGCCTGGCCGTGGGAGGCCCAGGGCCCTTGTGATGTGTGCTGTGGGCATGAAATTCATCCAGGTGGGCTGGGTGTGGTGGGAGACCCTGTAATCTCAGCACTTGGGAGGCTGAGAAAGGAGGCTGGCTACAAGTTGGAGGCCAGCCTGGACTACATGGCAAGACCTTGTCTCAAAACATTTTCATCAAAATGCAACCACTTCCTGTACGTAATTCCAGAGCAGTGAGGAGAATGATGGAACTGTGAAATAAAGGAGAAGTAGCAGGATGCTATTTTGTAAGGGATCAGTTTCAACAGCAGGAGAAGGTAGATGCAGGCCAGTAGGCCCTCCCACGCATGCAGCCAGGCTCTGACAGCCACAGGGGCACTGTTGGGAGATGTTGCTCGATACTTTGTTTTGTATGTAAGCTGGGTTCTCCCCTCTGATCTCTCACAAGCCCAAGGAAACAGGCAGCAGCCTTAATGGATAGTCTGTGGCGTGTGGCTCCGTGTGGCTCCCCGCAGTGCCGCTGCCCAGTTGCAGCCTCTGCGCTGCCCCAGTTAACAGTGTGTGATTCTCCACCTTGGCCCAGGTCCTCTACCCCAGCACTACCACCTGTTGCAGCACTCAGTAAGGCTCTGTGGGACTGACTCTAGAAAGTAAGAAACCTACTGTGGAGCCAGGTGCAGTGGCAAAGGCCTGGAATCCCACCACTCAGGAGGATGAGCAGGAGGATCGCAGGTTCAACATCAGCCTAGGGCGTAGAAGTAAACCATTGGAAAACAGCAAGATGCCAGCTCCAAAAACAAATGAAAAATAAATTCATCTTATGAATGGCAATAAAACTTGTCTTGACTCTTAGTAGTGTGTTTAGTATACAGATAGTACTAATAGAGAACAATGCCAATATTCAGGAATTATGAAATTTTAAGGGTATGTTTCACATTTTTATTGGGGGCCAGAGAGAAGGGGGCTCCTTTCCTTTAATGGAGGTGCTCACAGTGTCTTCGGCCATCCCAAGATTGTATCTGGGGGTGGCTGGGCCCATCATCTTGGAGATGTCTGGGTAGTTGGCCAAGGCCTGGAATCCCACCACTCAGGAGGATGAGCAGGAGGTGTAGCCTGGTTGCTCATGACTTGGTATAGGCTATGCAGGAGGGCAGAATTATCATGAGACCCTGATGGTGACGGACACAACCAGCATTGACCCTGGGTATTCTTGGGAAAATCATGAGTCTTGTTTGCGTGGCTGCAGAAGCCTACAGCTGTGCAGCCCCGGCCCTGGGCTGGTGATGGGCCTGGCACATGCTGGGTGTTCTGCCTCTACAAGTGCTAGAATGGTGAGTATAACAATGGGAATGATTTTGTAGTACAGAATTGATGGATTCAGGAAACTCGAGCCAGAGCCCTCAGGTGCCTGCCTGTCCTCCAAGCACCCTTACCACAATAGAGAGGGTGGCTGATGAGGGTCCAGGCATGGCCTTGGCTCTGCCCTTCTGGGTGGTGGCAGGGGGTGGTCAGCCTGGGTCACTGTGTGCCATCTGTCTTGCAGTGTTTGTGGGCTACCTGTGCATTGTGCTGCTTATGTTACTGCTGCTCATCTTCTGGATTGCTCCGGCGCATGGACCCACCAACATCATGGTCTACATCAGCATCTGCTCCTTGCTGGGGAGTTTCACCGTGCCTTCCACGAAGGGCATAGGGCTGGCAGCCCAAGACATCTTGCACAACAATCCCTCCAGCCAGAGAGCCCTGTGCCTGTGCCTGGTGCTCCTGGCTGTACTGGGCTGCAGCATCATTGTGCAGTTCAGGTACATCAACAAGGCCCTTGAGTGCTTCGACTCCTCGGTGTTTGGGGCCATCTACTATGTGGTGTTCACCACGCTGGTCCTGCTGGCATCGGCCATCCTCTTCCGCGAGTGGAGCAATGTGGGCCTGGTGGATTTCCTGGGCATGGCCTGTGGGTTCACGACTGTCTCTGTGGGGATTGTCCTTATACAGGTGTTCAAGGAGTTCAACTTCCACCTTGGGGAGATAAACAAATCCAATGTGAAGACAGACTAGGATGCGGCCAGGGGTTGGGGGCAGGAGGAGCAGGCCTTGGAGTTGGTCTCTGGTCTTGACTGGATGTGAAGTGGCCACGACCCTCAGCCCCTGGTGTGAGAGTTACCTGTGCACGTGCAGGGTCCTCGTGGACATGAGGAACCTAGCTCGACCCTGGACGGGGCCCAGCTCGGCAGCCCAGACCTCCCTGTGGTGGCCTGGGCATCATCTTTCTCCAATGAGACGGATGTCATCTTCATTTCCATTAACCCAGAAGCTTTCATGACTACTCTTTCCTTTTAGAATATTTTAACATGACCTAATCAGGAAAGAAGGTGGGCTCTTTCTGGTTGGTCTTTGTAGGAGAACAAATGCTCTTAGATTACTTTGGAAACAAGAGAAAGTGTCTTGAAATCTGGCTCTGTGTAGTAAACGTGACTGTGGTTGTGTTAGTTTGCATTAAGCATGACTGATATTCAGGAGCCTCCCTCAAGAGGCATACATCGAATTCTGTGTAGTCCTGTGACAAAGTGACACTTTTGCACTCGCCCAGGCCATCTTAATAGCAAGTAGAGAAGAGCTAGGGAACGTGACACAGTATTCCATTGGCAGGGTGACTTCAGCAGCTCAAATCAATTTCAGTGCCTTTCTTACTTGGATTGTTCACTTAATTTGATAGCTATCATGTGTATGTCCTCTTAGATTAGAATAATGCACTTCCTTGGTTACATATTTCTATTTCAATGTTTAGATTACAGGTATGTGAATCAGTTAGAAATAATAGTGTAGTCACTGGAAGGTAGTCAGAACTAAATATTATAGCAAGTTACTGTTCAGCATGTAGTTATTGTCTAAAGACGACTAAGCAGCATGAGGTGTTTTTTTTTTTTTCTCATTCAAACTAACTGGGATCCAATATCAAATATATTTACATTGTTTTTTCAGCAAGCATTTTTGACTAGTTGGGAGAAATAAACTAACTTGATAAGAAGTTAATACAAGAGGGAATAACAGCTGTTCAATGCCACATACATTGCGTGTCATTTAATACAGGAACAAATTAAAGGACACAGATGAGCTTAAGACAAGTTCTCGAAGGAATATGTATCAAAGATGGAAATAACTAGCTTCACCATCTCCTTGTTTGAGATGTCACTTGGGACTTCTTCACCCCATCTCATAAACTTCTTGAGCACACACAGAGACAAGACAAAACAAAATGAAAGACTACCAAAATATAAAAGAGCCAATAATCGTGGCAGGTTTGAACCAAAAGGGTCATTCTTCTGGCCACAGCAACCTTCTGTGCTTCTGAACGGCAGCAAGGTGTGGAGCCATGCAAGGGAACCAGGGAACCTGGCGGTGTGTCTCTTCTAAGCAGTGAGCTCGCTGCGCTGCTGCTGCCACATGCAGGGTGGGCCGAGCAGAGAAGGCAGGACGCGACCTCTGTGACCTCTAGCGACCCCCAATTAAAGTTATCACTAAGGAAACAATGTGCTGTTCTAGGCAAAGGCAACATTTCTAGAGTGAAGACCCAGGAATACTTCATTCCCTGAACTACTGGAAAAGAGGCTAAATAAAATAAGATTAGCATAAAGCCAAAAGTAACCAGTATGGGTTAAAAGTACCTATGGCTCGTTAGTGACTGAGAAGCAACAACAAAATTAGTCTTCTATTGTTGAGTAAGTGCTCAGAAAAGTGACTTGTTTTTATCAGCTCTTGAAAGTTTCTATTTTATTATCAGCATTCTTAGGAATGCAGGCCTTAACTTACTGAACTCTGAATATAAGTGAAAGCATTATGTAGCAGGATCAGCACACTTTTAGGCATAAAAATTGTTCCTTGGATGAGTTTGAGAAAGAGTATGTGTAGCTATACAAGTATGCGAACCAAGCTCATCAGTAGAAATTCTGTTTGTTTGGCTGTAAGCTACAAGTGGAGCGAGCTCCAGTGCATCTGTTAGCGTGTATTCTTAACAGCTGAATGCAGTTAACCGAGGCCAAGAGTTTCTGGAGCATCTTCCCTGTGATTGTTTTTTTGTTTTTGTTTTTGTTTTTGTTTTAAATTTGGTACAGGATCTTGCTACACAGCTTGGACTCATAGTGACCCTCCTGTCTCAGCCTCCCCAGCGCTGGGATTACAGGCATGCGCTTCCACACTTGGTTTCCAGCCCAGTACAGTGCACCTGGGGTTCTGGGGCCAGCACAGCATGCGGTACCGGGAATTGAACTCAGGTCCTTGTGCTTGCCAGGCAGGTGCTTAGACCACTGAGCTATCAGCTCCCCAGCCCCTTCCCTGTGATTTTTAAAGGGTAAAGCAGAATTTCACAGCATGAGCATCTCCCTCTCTTTCAGGCGTCTGTCCTGGGCAGTGCGCATCTCGGGTTCCTGCTCAGGTAGATGGGTAGGGTGTACCGCCCTCATTCTAGTGGAGCAAAGCTCTCCGGGGCACTGGTACGGCTAGTGTCTAGGGCTCTCATGTTCAAGTTTAACACAGAGGATATATATTCAGGGTTAATATAGTTTATTCTACAAATTCATTTTCGTATAATTCATTTGAAAATACAATAAAAAAAAACCCAAAGTGAGAGTTTCAAGGGAGGGCCATCTGGGGATGGATCTCTGATTGGTCTTGCCAAAAGTAAATATGTGCAAAATGTTTTCATTATGATAAACTTTGGGTTTTATCTCTGATAAACTTAAAGAAAAGCTGGGCGTGGTGGTGCATGCCTGTAGTCCTATCCCTGTGGGAGCTAGGCAGAAGGAGCGTGAATTCAAGCCCCACTCGGGCAACTTGGTCCTTCAGCAAGCTCCTATCTCAAAGGGCTGGGGATACAGTTTAGTACAGACTCTGGATTTAATCCCCAGTGGATTAAATCAAGGGGAGTAAGCTCCCTCACCCAACATAACAACTAAAAAGACGTCGTTTGTAAGTGTACTTGTTTTGAAGTGTCCACTAAAATCAGTTTTTTAAAAATCAAAATTAGCGATTTTTTTTTTTTTTTTTTTTTTTGAGACAGGTTCTCACTATGTAGTTCAGATTGGTCTTGAACTTGTTTATATAAACCAGACTGGCCTGAAACTCATGCTGTAAATATCTGCCTGTTTCAGCCTCCCTCCCAAGTGCTGGGATTACAGGTGTGTGCCCCAACGCCTGGTTCAAAGTTATGTTTGACAGATCCTTAAAGAGGCCGTTTTTTAGATGGCTCAGTGGAGTAAGCGCTTCCCTGGCAAGCTCAAGGGCCTGAGTTCAATCCCTTGTTCTGCAAAAAAAAAAAAAAAGGCGTTTTTCTGCTCTCCTACGTAAGCGTTGTCTTGTTTTCTCATCCCATTCTCTGCATCTGGACAGTGGTTTCCCATTCTGCTTATGGATCTCGTGGAGGACCAATTAAGGATTCCCCCCAACCCTGCCCTGGGCACGCCCAGAGCACTTGCGGGTCTGCGTGCCCACTGCCTCCCGGAGGCTCTGCGCAGGAGGGCAGTGCCGCCGGGCGGGCCCCTGGGGAGCAGTCTGTTTTTCTGGTGGCCTTGCCTATCACCCAGCTGTCGTTACAGTATTTTCTCGTTTGGATGTTAATGCCCTGTACGCTCTGTTCAGCAATAAGAAACATTCCTTCAGTGCTACTTCTTAAGCCAGCGTGTCCAGGCAGTTTTATTTTCTAGTAGCGAGTCCTAGCATTAAGATGTTGGTCTGTGTTCTTTTGAGGGTTTCAGCTCTGTTTTCTGATACAAGAGGACACAGTTCAAATGTGTGATCACTGTTCCTTTTCCTTTTATCTGGACAGCTCAGCTTCTGGTAAATATTTTGCTCAACTCTTAGAAGTCAGCTTGGAGACCTCTGTGAAGTGTTGAGATGCAGCGGCTCTGGGTACGGAAGAACGCTCAGCCCATGAAATAGGTGTTGCTGAGCGCAGGCTGCTGCTGGCCACGGGTTGCTGCTGCCTGGGGCTTGAAGCCAGCCTGGTGCGTGCTGGCCCAGCACTCTGCCATTGAGCTACGTCCCTCGCTCGAAACCCAGATTTTCCCTGCCTTTGTCTGTTTTGTTTTGAGGTGCTGGAGTTCAAATGCAGGGCCTCAACCTTGGCAAGCAAGTGTGCTGCTCCCACTGAGCTATACCCTAACCCTGCTGCTACTTCTTGTCAGGAGACGATGCCTCTTCCAACTGCTCCACTCAGCTAGAAGAATGGAGAGGATGCTGTAGAGGCCCACACCGCCCTTAGCTCTTCTCTGCTGCCCGTAGAGCCTGTGCAGCTTCCTGTGACCCAGGAGGGTACCAGAGAGAAGAGCGCTTTGCCCAGTGGACTAGCTGCCCTCAGTGCGCCTGAGCCCAGGGCAGCTGCACACTCTCAGGGACCCCAGTGTATCAGTGCACTGCTGACCTTACTTCCAAGGATATGTCCACGTTCACGTTTGTACACTTTACTCAGAATCATGTCTAGATTTTGTTAACTTGTGGTGGCAGGAGAAAGGACAGTTGGCACGCCAGTCACATAAAATACCTCAATTCCGTGTGTCCCTCATTTCTGCTTCACAGTTGTTGCTGGTGATGAACTTCAAGGGTCTGTCCTTCAGCTCATGTGACTTTCCACATCTGGCCAGATTCTTGTACCTCCACTGTATACTTGAAAAGATTAAGAATTATAGGAACAGCAATGAGAATTTGGTCCAGTGACACTACTTGTTTATTTTCATATATGTTTCCCATATGCTATTAAATGTAACAAAATAATTATATTTTAAGAAAATGTAACCTTTGTTGCATCAAAATATATTGTCTAATAAGAACTTGATACTCAGTAGAGCAGTGATCATCTAAATAACATGTATTTCAGATGTACCCAAAGTGGTTAACAAGCAGAGCCTAAGGCCTAGAGCTAAGGAGGATTTCTTTCTTTTCTGTTTCCCCTGAATTGTGCACATGTGGGTGAGTTGCTTAACCTTTCCGTGCCTCGTTTTTTCTACCTCTAGAGGGGTGGGATGGCTCTCCAAAGCTGCTGCTTCTGCTGTCAGCACTTCAGCGGTGCTTGGGTGGCCTCGTGTGTGTGCACCATGCACAGACCCGCTCCGGAAGCCATGTGGTGGGACTCGGCCCACGAAGTCTGTCCTGGACGGCATCGAAGAGCACACGGCCTTGTGCACAATGCCAGTAAAAGAAGCACTGGTGGTCCAGATTGCGTGATTCTTTGAAGCTTTAATTTTCACTTGTTTGTTTTTAAAAGAGTTTTGTGTATTCTGTTGTAAAATATGGAAATTAAATTGGACACTAGAAATTGCACTGAAAGATCCCACCCTGATGGTGTGACGAGCCCCTCTGCTGTCCCGCGTAGAAGACGGGGTAACTGTGTGGCTGATGAGTCCTGTCCCCTGTGATTGGTGATGAATAATGCTGAACTTGCTGCTTTCAAGCCAGCTCAACCTAACGATGAACTCTCTGACATCAGCTGAATGCCAGG